CTTCCTCTGCACGCAGGACGCCTTCTCCGGCCGGGAGCAGGCGGCGGTGCAGGCGCTCAGCACGCTCTGCACCGTGGCCGCGCTGCTCGCCGGCTTCTTCCTCCCGAAGGCGTTCGTCATCCTCCTGCGCCCGCACCGCAACACGCCCGAGCACTTCCAGGCGGCGATCCAGCGCTACACGCGCCGCCTGGCCGCCGCCTGACCGGCGCGCTCCCGGCCCTCCGCCGCGTCACATCCGGCGCGCTGCCATGGCGGCGGCCGCGGCGCACAGCGTCCGTGTGCTGCGGGAGCTGAACCGGCAGCGCGCCGCGGGGCTCTTCTGCGACGCCACGCTGGGGGTGGGCGGCCGCGAGTTCCGCGCGCACTGGCCCGTGCTCGCCAGCTGCTCCCGCTTCTTCCGCGCCCGCGGGCCCGGCGGCCCCGTGGCGCTGCCCGACGGCCTCGCCGACACCTTCCAGCTCCTCCTCGACTTCTTCTACACCGGGCGCCTGGCGCTCACCGCGCACAACCGCGCCCGCCTGCTGGCCGCGGCCGAGCAGCTCGGCGTGCCCGACGCCGTGGCCCTGTGCCGCGCCTTCCGCCCCGCCGCGCCCCGACAGCGGCCCCGCCGCGCCGCGCCGCGCCCGGCGCCGCCGGACACCGCGGTGCGTGAAGGGGACTGCGGGGTGGTGGTGGTGGTGGTGGGCGGGAGCGGTGACGCCGCCGGTTCCATCGCAGGGCACCCCCCCGGCCCCGGAGGAGGAGGCGGCGGCGGCGGGCGGCGAGGCCGTACCCGAGAAGAAGGCGCTGCGGGGCAAAAGGAGCCCCCCGCCGGGCAGCGCGGGCAGCGGGAGAGGTGCAGCGGTGCCGGTTGAGTGCCCCACGTGCCATAAAACCTTCCTCAGCAAATACTACCTGAAAGTGCACAACAGGTAACGCTCCGGCCTCTCCTTCCCTCCGCGGACCGTGCGCAGGGACTCGCGTCGCCCCGAACTCACAGCAGTGCCTTGGGGGGGGCGGCCGGCCCCGGTGTCCCCCGGGGAGGGGGGGGAGAAGGAGGTGCCCGTGCCCTGGGCAGGGTTGCTGAGAGCTGGAGGGGGGTGAATCCGTACCCAAACAGGGGCTGAGCAGCCCCATCCCACGGAAGGTGCGGGCGGATGATGGGAAATCGTCCTTCCGTGGGAATGCGCCCGGGTTGTGGGGAGCACGGGAGCCTCGGAGAGCAAAGGGGGTGCCTGCAGAGAGGGCAGGAGCGCCGGCGCCGCTCGGCTCCTGAGGAGCCCTGTGAAAGAGGTGGCAGCGCAGTGGGCACTGACAGCTTGACCGCGCTCCACCGGGATCAGCAAACTTGGGGTAAAAGGCAGGTTTTGGGTGACTGAATACTGGCACTGACATTGGCTGCCTGAACATCCCCTCTCCATTCCCAGTTCCTTACCCGTGTCCTCAACAAGCCTCTTGGCGCGTCCGTGCCGTGACGGATGCTCTCCGGTTGTATTCCCCCTAGGAAACACACTGGAGAGAAGCCGTTTGAGTGTTCCAAATGTGGCAAATGTTACTTTAGGAAAGAGAACCTCCTGGAACACGAGGCCAGGAACTGCATGAACCGATCCGAGCAGGTACAGCCAGGAAGCTGCCACCGGAGGGCTGGGAGGTGGCTGCTGTTGTGCAGGGCTGGAGCTGGGGCCTGCCACAGCCCACATCACACTCAGCTGCCAACCAAAACCCCACATTGCCCCTGCACCCCACACATCCCACAGCCAGGACCCCCACATCCACTGCCGCTGACATGGCAGCAGCTTGTAGCTGCTCTCCCAGACGAGGATACTCTTTGTACCTTGAGAGATCCAGATCCGATGAATGCGGGTTAAAACCTCGTAACCTGGTCCCAGCACCCTTGTGCCAAGCACCACCGTGAGCTGTGGGCTGCGTGGTTCCATGGAAGCCGATGCCTCCCTGTCTCTTGCAGGCTTTCACGTGTTCAGTGTGCCAGGAGGTGTTCAAGAGGCGGATGGAGCTGCGGCTGCACATGGTGTCACACACGGGGGACATGCCATACAAGGTCAGCAGTGCCTGCCTCCAGCATCCCTACAGACACTGCCAGGCGCAGGAAGAGGGGCAAATCTTTGTGGTGTGGGGCCCCCAAACCTCCTTGCCTGGCCCGCAGCAGCTCCCTGAGGGTCATTCCCCATCTGTGAGCTGGAACGTGCTGCGGGGAGGCTCCAAACCCAGGCACTTTGTGTGGCCTTAGCAGGGATCCTGTGTCAGAACAGCGCTCCCCTGCCCGTTGTGCTGGCACGGTGCCGGTCCTCAGCTTGTGCTGAAGTGGCTGTTGGGGGGCAGCTGGGAGCTGAGCCTCCTCTGCTGTCTTGCAGTGCTCCTCCTGCGCCCAGCAGTTCATGCAGAAGAAGGACCTGCAGAGCCACATGATAAAGCTGCACGGCGCACCGAAGCCCCACGCGGTAAGGGGGGCAGGCGGCGGTGGGTACCCGGGAGGGAGCTGTCCCATGCTCAGGGTTAGAGAGCGGCACCATTGCCCTGTCTGGCTCTGTTCAGTGGGGCAGGGCGTTACAGAGCTCCTGGCAACAGTGGTTTTGGGTACAGGAGCACCCCTCCATTCCTTTGGCTGACAGACCCAGGCCCATGGCAGGCGCGGTGCCTAACCCCTGTGCGCTCTCCTGTGGCCTTGCAGTGCTCGACCTGCTCCAAGTGCTTTCTGTCTCGGACAGAGCTGCGCCTGCACGAGGCCTTCAAGCACCGGGGAGAGAAGCTGTTTGTCTGCGAGGAGTGCGGGCACAGGGCCTCGAGTCGCAATGGCCTGCAGATGCACATCAAGGCCAAGCACAGGTAGGACGTGAGTGGGTCCGCACCGAGTGTACGACCGCAGTGGCACGGGCGATGACTGAAGCTCCCCAGCCTGGCTAATTCATGTTGTTGAAGTGGGAAAGCGTGCACCAGCGGCTGGTCCCTCAGTGTTCTGTTTCCTGGGCTGGTTATAACGCCCAAGGGGCAGGAGGCTCCAGTTTGGCAGCAGAGCAGCACTTGTGGGCCTCCAAAATACTTTGGATTGAGATGGGTTGAAGCAGGGTTTACTCAGGAGAGCGCTGGGGCAGCAGCAGCAGCAGCAGGTCCCTGCAGGGCTGATGGTGCCACCTCCCTGCCTGCAGGAACGAGCGGCCCTACGTCTGCGAGTTCTGCCACCACGCCTTCACCCAGAAAGCCAACCTCAACATGCACCTGCGCACGCACACAGGCGAGAAGCCCTTCCAGTGCCACCTCTGCGGCAAGACCTTCAGGACACAAGGTACCCCCGGGCGTGCTGGTGGTGCCGAGCACCAAGCGTGCGCTGGCACGAGGGAAGGCACGTTCCTGTTACCTCCATTACCCTCACGGCACAGAGGATCACGATATTGATCCTTTGATTGATTGAAAACTGAGCTTTCCCCTTCCGAGCCTCCCTCACCAGCGCGGCGCGCACCGACTGCGCCGCGCATGCCCCACACTGGAGGCGCTGATGCAGAGCTCTCCCCTGTGTCCCCTGCGCGTGGCAGCAAGCCTGGACAAGCACAACCGGACCCACACCGGGGAGCGCCCCTTCGGCTGCGAGTTCTGCGAGCAGCGCTTCACGGAGAAGGGGCCGCTGCTGAGGCACGTGGCCAGCCGGCACCAGGAGGGGCGGCCCCACTTCTGCCAGATCTGCAGCAAGACCTTCAAAGGTAACGGCCGGGGCACGGAGCACACGCGTGGCCCCATCAGAGCCCACCCTGGTGTGGGTCAGGGTCACCGCGAGCCGCTGCCAACGGGCTCTTGCTTCCCTTGCAGCCGTCGAGCAGCTCCGCGTCCACGTCCGCCGGCACAGGGGCATGAGGAAGTTCGAGTGCACCGAGTGTGGATACAAGTTCACGCGGCAGGTGAGGACCCCCCTGCTCCAGGGTCGGAGCCGGCGCTCACCGAGCCCCTCACCGTGTCGCCGTCCCTTCGCAGGCTCACCTGAGGCGCCACATGGAGATCCATGACCGCGTGGAGAACTACAACCCGCGGCAGCGGAAGCTGCGGAACCTGGTCATCGAGGACGAGAAGGCCGTGGTGTTGGCGCTGCAGCCGCCACCGGAGCTGGACGTGGGCTCGGCCGAGGTGATCGTGGAGTCCCTGTCCCGCGGCGCCCTGCCTGAGGACATCCCCGTGCAGAGACTCTGCTCCAATGAGAACTTCCCCCCAGGGGATGTGATGGAGCAGGCGCTGATCCTAACGACGACAGATCCCGAGGGCTGTGGCACATAGCGGGACCCGGCGCACAGGGAGCTCTGTGCCACGTCTGTTCTTCTGGAGCTCTGCATCCCCCCCTTCCCCGCGCATCTCCCACCCCTGGCTGCGGGAGGGGAAGCTCTAATCCGGTGTCAGATGAAGCCACTCCACGTGGCTCCTTAATAAACGCACGCACTCTGTGCGAGGTGGGAGCCGGGGGGGCTTCGTGTGTGTGACTGTCAGCTGCCTTCCAGTGAGATCTCATTGCGGCCGGAGGGGGCGGCTGCTGCTCACCCCTTGCCTCTGAGCTCCTGATTAAAGCTTACCTTCCCCAGAGCACGGCTCTGCCCCTTCCTTAAACACTTCCCAAAGGACCCTCTCCTCCTTAGCCCTGTGCCTTCTTTCACTCTGTTTTGTTGCGCTTCTGATGCCTGCTGTTTCTTTGCCCCATTGAAGGCGAGGCACGCCTGGCATCTTCTCACCACCCATAACTGAGCTGTTGGTGAATGTGAAACACGTTACCTGAAGGAGCTGGAGCCGGTCAGCGCTCCCCGCTCCTGCATTTAGGGGTGGGGATTTCTCCTTGTCTGCAACACCATGAGCCAGGGTCGCGGTGACACTGAGAGCTCCGTCCTTGATGTGCCCACAATCACAGCCGCGCTCTCCCCTTTCCCACACACCAAGGCAACAGAATGTCTCCAGCTTAAACACTGGGCCTGGAATGAGAACCCCAGTAAAACCCTCCTGCAACCATCTTCCCTTCAAAGGCAGCCGAGAGGTTCACGGAAGGTGTTTTATTTAACTTGACTGCTGCAAGTAAATTTAAAACTATGAGAATAAAAATACATTATCTGTAACGGAGATGCCTTTGTTTCAAAGGACGGTGTTTAAACTGCACTCCAAGAGCCGGACACGATGGGCTTTAGCAACAAATAAATACAGCTCCGTAACTGTTGAGCCTGTTGGGGACTGGGGGGAGGCAGGTCCAGCAGCGAGCACTGCAGCACGAGACACAGTGCCTTCTATTTATAGTCTGGCATAAATACTTGGGGCTGCAGTGCACGTTCCGCTGCGCAGCCTCGGAACGGGCTCTGCGTGGTGCTGCGGGGACATGGCCAGAAAGGAAGGAGATGCCCCAAGTCCCTACATTCCAGCCCGGAGGCTTTCGATCCAAGAGGCTGCCACGGCACAATCCAGCTTCAAGGCACTGTCAAAGATCCAGACGTGGAGAACAGCCGGGATTCACCAGCAGCATTCCCGGCTCCGCAGCCGAGGAGCAGGGCATGAGGCAGGAAACTGCATTCAAGGCAAACCAGATCCGTTTTAAAGCTGTGAAGCCGCTGATGCTGTGGAGATGGGGCCCTGGCGCTTTCCATCTCCAGATGAAGTTCAAATGCGAGTGTTTTTGCTGTTGGTTGAAAGCACAAGAGGGAAACAGCAACGGCCTCCAGCCCCGCTCTCCCGAAGGATGAGCCTTGGCCTTTGGCTCTTGGCTTGTTCACCAAACATTCCACGAGTAAACTGCAGGCAGCTTCTCTTCAGCTAAGGTAGAAGGAGGAACCCAGCCCAAGCTCCCTACGTCCCTTGGGCAAGGATAAAGGCAACTCTTAGGCCAAAAAACCCCGCAAACCCCAAATAAAATGAGGAAACAAAAGAAAGAACTACCCTAAAGTACCTACTGCTCAATCCACAGCACTCCAGGCACCTCCTGCACCTCTGCCACAACACCTCAGTGGCGTTTTCCTATTGCTCACATCCCGAGAGCTGTGAGCAGGAGGCACGACAGGCACTGAAGGTCCAATGGGTTCATTCACACAAGGGGATGGGTTTGACAGTGATTCTGCGTCAGGGTATTTAACTGCAAGCCTGTTTCCCACCGCGGCTCCTTTAAGGTGGTGAAGAAACCAGAACGCACCCTTGCTACGTGGAGCCCATCCCGGAGCTCAGCACGGGAGAACCGCCAGCAACAGCAGCTTTTCCTGCCCTAGTTCAGCCCTGGCACACCAGGAAGGGGAACGGCTCCTCCCGCGGGCAGCAGCCACCAGCCCCTTGGGCTGGGTAAGAGCAGGACTTGCTGCTCCCCTTCCCCTTAAGCTGGTGATTGGAAATGAAGCAGTGGAGCTGTCAGGATGGGAGGAGAAGATAAATAAGGGTGTTTGTCTGCTGAGAAGGAAAAGGCCTTGCTAGGGAGGGCTGGAGAACAAAGACCTGCAGGGTCTGAATGCTCCGACTTAACCCCCCCGAAACACAGGGAGAACTGAAGTTCTGAGGGCAGATGAAGCTTCGTAACCCAGCCACAGCGAGGCCCTGGCCATGGTGCACCCGTTCCTCCCGAAGGAATGAACGGGGATGGAGGAGCACGGCCACAGGGGAGGAAGCTCCACGTTCTCACACCAACCTCTCACCCTGACGGACCTCCAGCTCCTCGGGAAGAGACCTTTCCCCCCTCTATCCACATGCACATGGAGCCTGTCCTGGGAGGCACAGAACAGAGGTGGGGGCCCAGTTCCCTGCCCCACGAGACCCTTCTAAAAAGGAACTGAAGGAAGAAGTTTGGTGGCAAACGAAGCAGGAGCTCCCAGCGAAAGGTGTCTGACCAAAAGCCATGAGCTGCGATGCTGTTCAACACGACCGCTTTGCTCCAGTTCAGCTCCGGGGTCTCTATGAGCAGTCGGAGCCTCCTCCCGCCCAGGGAAGGGCCGAGCAGCATCAAACGTCAGAGCTTCCCCTCTATGCCCAGTTCAGGTTTGTCTCCCAGCACCGTTTTGCCTCTCAGAGCATCACAGGTTCTGGTTCATGGAGCTGCCGTCCCCCACTAACGCAGCTCGTTCAGGTTCTGGTTGTGGAGGTCCTGGCGCTGCCTGTTCAAGTTGATGGCGTTGTCCAGCGTGATGGCGTCGTCCTCCTGCGTGGTTTCCGGCATGAACTGCCGGAATATGCTGACGCTGCCGTGCCAGAAGATGGGCTCGGGGAGCCGGCCCACCACGCTCCATGTTCGTGTCTCAGGGTCGTAGGCTTCCAGGACATCCGAGAGCTCAAAGGTGTTGTCGTAGCCACCGGACACGTAGAGCTTCCCGCCGAGCACGGCCACGCTGCCCCCAACGTGGACCTAGAGACAAACACAAATACACCCCATGGTCACAATGGGGGTTCTGGCACTCCGGGGGATGGTATCGGAGTTGGTGCTGTCCTATAGTGCTGCAGTGCTCAGCACCCACCAGCGCTGCCCCAAACCCCAAGGAGCCGGAGCTTCCAGCTTCACACCCAGCCACAACCACTCCTCGGTGACCCTGATAGGCTGTAATGGCAAGGGGCTAGAACCCAAAGAGCCCTTTGGAAACGCAGCCAGTCTTTAAGCCGGGAGGTTGGCGAGTGTCCTACCTGAAGCATGGCTGGGATTTTATCCCATTCGTTCTTCGCTGGGTTGTAAACGTCCACCTCAGCCGAGTCATCTCTGCGGGAGATAACGCGGAATTATTCCTCCGTGGTCTAAACCCCTCCTGCCCCGTCAAGCCCCAGTTCAACAGCCTGAAATGCTACCGAGAGCAGATCGCAGTGCATGCGTCAGAGAGCAAAGGGGCAGGTCTCACGGCAGACCCCAGCCTCCAGTATGGGTCCCTCTTGCTGGGTCCAAATCACTGCACAGCCCCGAGGGCTTTCTCAAGTCCGGTCTTTTTTTACACCAGCATCTCTAGTGTCTCACAGACCAGCTCCCTGCAAGTCAGCACTTCAGGGGCTGATCTGCCTTCGGGGCCAAGTGCTTCAGGCCTGGAAGCAAAGTTACTGCTATTCTGGAGAGGCTTAAGCCTCCACGTGCTTCCAAGTAACAGCATCCTCCTGCTTGGGGCTTTCATTCGTGCCAAATTTAGATGGGCTGAGGACGCAGGAGGAGAGGTATTTGGACAACGTGATCCCCCCAAGGGGGTGCTTTCAAATGGGTAAGGAAAAGGAAAACCCATAGAACCAGGCGCTGACAAGTGGCTGAACAGCCAAACCACCCCAACCAGGACTCGCTGAACACCAAGCGAGTCCAACAAACAGCCAGGAACCAAGACCCCAGTGGGTCAAATACAAGGTCTGGGCTGGAAGCTGCTGCTTCCTGCAAACCAAGAGGAGATTAAACACTGAGGAATGTGTCTGGAGGCCGTCACAGAGCTCTCTGCTTGCTCAAAGCCAGCGCAACAGGATGAAACGCTCCGGCGCTCGCATGCCTTCCCGTTTATTTTTAATGAGGTGGATAACTGAAGCATTCGTGCCACCGGGACCGCCTCGGATGGGTAATTAGGCCCCAGTTTGGAACGGCACTTAAAAATAGTGACCAATCATTTCATCTTCAGCCTCTTATCTCTGCTGAGAAGGAAGGCGTCCTCTCCTGCGCCCAGCTTAACGTTTTCTTGGAGCTTGCTCGCTTATTTATAGCAACAAGGGGGGCTGAAGCCAAGAAAACAGAAGTCTATTTCCAAGCAGCGCTGCTGACTTCAGCCCCATTTATACCTGGCTGTTCCCAGCCCCTGGGTCAGGTTCTGAGGGTTTTACACAGTTTAAACACAGTCCTTTGAGGTCTGTCTACAACAGAAGATGAGGAAAGAGGTGCAGTGGTTCATAGACCCATCACAGGAAGCACCGCTGTGCCTTCCCAATGCAAGTCTCTCTTACAACCGTTCCCTTCCCCCTTACAACATGCTTTCCAGGGACACCCTGGTCTTGCCTCATAGGGAAGGAGGCTCCCACTCCCATTACTCACCTTATGAAGTACATGAGGCCATTGAGGGTGACAGTCTTTGGGGCGAAGGACCAGGGGGGCAGATGCCCGCAGTTCACGAGGGTCCAGAGATCGCTGTCGGGGTCGTAGCACTGCATCACCATGGACTCTTTGCCAGCCAGGGAGCCGATGGCGAACAGCTTGCCGCGGCAGGAGGTGGTGGAGCAGTTGTCCATGGGGTACAGCATGGGCTGCAGGGCCTCCCAGCTATCCAGCGCGTGGTCGTAGCGCTCCGTGCTGTCCGAGGCGATGACGTAGAGCAGCCCGTCCAGCACCGTGGAGCTGTGGTATTCCCTGGCCTTCAGCATGGGAGACACCTCCGTCCACTCGTTCACGCTGGAGTTGTACCTCCACACGCAGTCGTACAGCCTGGACCCGTCGGACCCCCCTGTGGCACAGCACAAGCGTCAGAGCAGGGGAGCGCCCTGGGGACCGCAGCAGTGTCAGGGTTTTACTGAGGTTTTGCACCGTTTCCTTCCCAACGAGCCAGGGAGGCTTCCCCTGCGCTGTCCCCTGGCTATGACTCAGAACGACTCTCCCACGTCCGACTGCTTACATCCTGCCAAGTGACCATCTCCTCGCCTGTTTTGCAACCCCTGCTCCCATCAGTGACACGGCAGAGGCAGCGCTCACCCGTGCCCAACCTCCCAACCCTCCCTCTGCCTGTGCTATGAACCAACACTAACCGGAACAGCCAAATTCCCCCTTGCCAAGGCACCAGGCTCCCGGCGGCATCAGCACCTCTTGACCTGCCTGGGATCGCTCCCAAGGGCATCCATACAAGCACACCGTGTGGCAGCCCATCATTGACACACCTCTGCCTTTAGCAGAGCCTTGTTTTGTGCTCAGGACCAAAGCACAAACAGTTTTCTGTTTGCCTGCATCTGACCTGTCCTGCACACCCAGGGCAAGCTGCTCTGGTGCCTTCCCGGCTTGGCTTGCTCCGGCTGCCGCAGGGATGTACTTCAAAGGAGGCACCTCCATGCAGATGAGCAGCCAAATCTCCACACCCGGGTCACCTTGAGACAAGGCACTGCAGCCCCAGCGGCTGCGGGAGCAGGATTTGTGCTGGGGAAGGCACCGTCTGACTCATGGGCACTGCCCGGCTGAGGCACCGGGGGCTCCAACACACCCCTGCCCTGAGCACCCGCCTGGGCTGTGATTCACGGGGCTCTGCACCCAAACACCTTCTTCCTGGGGAGAAATCCAAACCCTCCCGAGCCACCCCCGGAGCGAGCGGTGACAAAGCCCCACCAGCGCAGGATCTGCTGCCTGCGTGCTCGGGAGCATTACTCATGACAAAATACCGCCTGGATTAAGACCAGCTGCTAAATCCAGCACCGACTCCAGGAGCCCCTCCGCCCGCCTTGGGGCTGGAGCCAGAGCAGAGCCTCCAAGTCTCCACCGCCCGGAGAGAAGCCAAATCTGGTGCCAGAACCCGCGCGCTCCCAACGGAAACCCCACCGCCGGTGCCTTACCAGTGACGTAGATGTCATTGCCCAACGCAGCCACGCTGTAGCCCCCTCCGAGGTGCTCGGGGAACTCGGCCAGGTAGCGCCAGTGCCCGGTGCGCGGGTTGTAGCAGTCGACGGTGACGAGCTCGTCGCAGTCGCGGTCGCAGCCGCCGACCAGGACGAGGATCTCGGCGAGGCCGGTGGAGGGCCGCGGGCGCATGCGGGCGCAGGGGCCGTGGTCGTGCCGGTCGAGGCGGGCGGCCTGGAAGTCGCGGGCCTCTTGCAGGAGGCGCAGGCAGGGCGGGCAGCGCGCCACCAGCGGCTCGCCCTCCACGTGCGCCAGCAGGTAGAACCGGCGCACGAAGGGCAGGCGGACGTGCGCCAGGAGCTGCGGCAGCAGCGGGGCGCGGGCGGCGGGGTCTGCGCGCACCCAGCGCAGCGCTAACTGGAAGGCGGCCTCCTCCTTGGGGACGCAGAGCCCGTCGTCCCGCAGGTAGGACAGGAGCCGCGGCAGGGGCAGGCGCTCCAGCTGCGCGCCCAGCTCCCCCACGTGCCGCAGCACGAAGCGATGCGCCGCGGCCGCCAGCGCCGGGCAGGCGAAGGCCTCGGCGAAGTCCTGCATGTCCAAGGCGTTGGCGGGCTCCAGCTGCCGCGCCAGCCACGCGCCGCAGGCCTCCTTGACGGCGGGGAACTGCAGCAGGTCCGCGGCGCGCAGCAGGCGCTCGGCGATGTCGGGGCCCAGCCGCCCCACGCGCCCGGTGTAGGCGAAGTCGAGCAGGCGCGCCAGGCACTCGGGCTCCACGCCGTGCAGCCGCACGCGCTCGGCCCGCGCCTCCCGCAGCGCCCCGCCGAACATGGCGCGGAAATAGCCCGAGGCGGCGGCCAGCACGGCGCGGTGCGCCCCGAACTCCCGCCCGCCCGCCACCACCGTCACGTCGAGCAGGCTCCGCTCCGCCCGCAGCGCGCTCAGGCCCCGCAGCAGCGACACGGCGTGTGCCGGCTCCCCCGCGGCCGTCGCCGCCGGTGCCGCCGTCCCGCCGCTGCTGCCGGTGTTGGCCGCCATGCCTAGGGGAGAGCACACGGTGTCACCACGCACGGGGCCACTCGGGTCGCAGCCGGGAGCGGGTCAGGGGAAGCAAAGCGGGGATAAATAAAGGCAAGGTGGTCACCGCAAGGATAAACGGCCCCGGGGGAGGACGAGCGAGAGACCCGACAGCCCCAGAGCCACCCGCGGTGCGGAGCAGCGGCAGTTGCATAACGAGCGGCGCTGGCAGCTGCCCCCCCCGCCCCGTCTAATTGCATTCCCCGGGGCCCCGTCCCGAGTTTCCCCGCACACCCGCGCCCGCTCCGCCCTTGCCGCGGGCACCTCGGGCCGGCCCCGCCGCTCTCCGCGGGGGCTACGGCAGTCACTGAGGCTCCCGGCGGGGCCGCTCGTTACCGAGGGCGGAGGCCCCGCGGGTCGAGACTCAGGAGGCGGCCGCTGCGCCCCGCCCCGCGGTACCGAGGGCTCCGAGCCGAACCGAGCCGAGCCGAGCCCTGCAGCGGGTCCCTACCGGAGCCCCAGGCTCCGCTCCTCTCCGCTCACCTCCGTTCCGTTCCGTTCCGTTCCGCTCCTCCCGAGCTGCCGCCGCCACCGCCCCGCCCGGCCCCGCCCCGCCCCGCTCCCGGCGGCCCCCGCTCCCGCCACTGCGCACGCCCGGACTACGGCTCCCAGCGCGCCCCGCGCGGGCTCCCGGCCGCCCCCTTCGCCGCCTCCCGCCGGTACCGAGCGGCTCGCGGGTGTCGGCGCTGCCCGGTTGCTGCCGCCGCCCTGGCCCCGCCTCCGCCGCCCGCGCCGGGACATGGACTCCGACTCCTGCGCATCCCCGTTCGCCCCGGAGGTGAGGGGGGGCCCGGGGGAAACGGGAGGGGATGGGGGGGGGCATCTCCCGCCGCCCGCCCCGGCCACCGGTGCCCGCTCCCCTCCGCGGGGCCGGAGCCATCTTGTGCCGTCGGGGCGAGGATTGGCGGCGGGGCGGCCGTGCCCTGCCGCGGGGGGCGGCGCGGTTGAGGTCCAGCACCGGGACCGGGGGGGCTGTGTGCGGGGGGGGGGGGGGGGGGGGGGGTGCGGGGTTTATGGGGGGGTGATGGGGGTGTTGTTGTCGGTACCGGCGCTGCCCGGCCCCGCCGCTCGCCGCGGGGTGTGGGGGTTGGGCGGCGCGGGGAGCGGCGGCGGGCGGGGCTCGGTGCGGGAGCGGCGGCGCGGGGCCGGGCTCGACGGGAGGAGGCGCCGCCGCTGACCCCCCCCCCCCTCCCCGGCTCCCGCAGGACTTCTCCCCCGCCGCCCGGCGGCGCCGAACCGTGGAGGACTTCAACAAGTTCTGCACCTTCGTCCTGGCCTACGCCGGGTACATCCCGTACCCGCAGGAGGTGAGCGGGCACCGCGGGGCTTCGCCACGAACCCCGGGGGCATCGCGCCCCCGCCCGTCCCTGAAACAAAAGGGAGCTGCGGGGGGGAGGGACTGGGGGGGGGGGAGGTTGGAGCCGGGATCGCTGCAGGCGATCGCTGCCCGGCTGGGGATGCCCGGGAGCTCGCACTGGGCCATGCGCCCCAGGGGATGGGCGCAGCGAGCGATCGGCGCCGAGTTAATGCTTTTATCCGGGCCTCGGGCAGGAAACGCCGCTGCGGAACAGCCCCAGCCCCCCCAACAGCACCGGAGGGACGATTGACAGCGATAGCTGGGATCCCCGGTTCAATGACATCCCCTCCTCCGTGTCCCTGCCCGCGAAGAGCAGGAAGAACTTCAGTCAGCTGAAGCGAGCGAAACCCTACGGTTCCCTGTTCCAGCGGGCAAAACCCAGCAACTTCCTGCCCGAGCGAAAGCAAATCGATAAGATCAGGAAGAAGAAGAAGCTGAAGAGGAGGGAAACGGAGGTGTCTGCAGAGGAGGACTACGAGGAGAAGCTGCTGGAGCTGGAGGCAGAGGACTCTTATGTAGAGACGCCGATGAGCCCCTCGTCCGAGGGCGATGCGCCGTCGGCGGCCGAGCACTGCTCGGTGTGGGACTCTGACACCCCCTCCAGCGGGTCCTGCCCCGCCGGCGCGCCCGAGCCGGCCGTGCAGATCCAGAGCGTGGGCAAGCGCACGGTCATCCGGCAGGGCAAGCAGGTGGTGTTCCGGGACGAGGACGGCACCGGTGACGACGAGGACATCATGGTGGATTCGGGTAGGTGGCCTGGCTGCGCAGAGGGGCAGTTGGTGGTGGTGCTGCCGCTCCCTTTGGTACTTCCCTGTAAGGTGAGGATGGTGCTGAGGCACAGAGTAAAGTGGCAAGTGGGGCTTTGGGGGAGAGGAGGGGCTGCTTGGCTGCTTTTGTAATGAACTAAGTGAAAAGCTGCAGCTTTGTAGAAGCAGCTGCTTCTCCCCTCCTGGGTTACAGCCTCCTTTGTATGCTGAGAGTCTCTTCCTGTGCAAGAGACCTGGAAACAATGAGCAAAGGGCCTGTCTTTGAAGCCCAGGTACTTGATTTAGGGTAAATTTGGGTAAAAGGAGAGTGAATCCCCTGTGTGGGCGATGCAGGGGTGCTAAAAATGCTGTTTCTCTGCAGATGACGACTCGTGGGACCTGGTCACTTGCTTCTGCATGAAGCCCTTCGCGGGGCGGCCGATGATCGAGTGTAACGAGTGCCACACCTGGATCCACCTCTCCTGCGCCAAAATCCGCAAGTCCAACGTCCCCGAGGTCTACATTTGCCAGAAGTGCCGGGACTCCAAGTTTGACATTCGCCGTTCCAACCGCTCCCGGACGGGCTCGCGCCGGCGCTTTCTGGACTAAGGGGGTTTGGATGGTGCCGGGGCCGGGGTGGGGGGGCTCCCCCGAACTGCTGCTGCTCAGGCTGAGGGGCCGCCCGCCGGCCCGCGGTGACCGGGATGAGGAGAGGCCGAGTGGTCACAACTGCTGCTAGATACGGATTAGCTCAAGGACAGACCAAGCGGGGGTTTGCCCGCTTACAACCATGGATTGGGTGATGGGGGAATGTATGATCCCTTTGCCACGTACGTTTTCTCATCCCATCGGGAGACTGCAAACCTCCTCTGTGCTCTCCAAAGAGAGGGGGAAGAGGAGGGAGTCTGTGTGAAGAGTCTGAAAAGTAAATGGCCATGTGTTTTAATTTCAGTGTAATATTATCCCTGCCCGTTTGTCTGTACGTATCAGTCTCAGATATTCTAAGGCTCTGTAGGGGTGTTGATGTGTCCCAATCTGCTGCCTCCTCCCCAGGCTCAGAGGGGAGTTCTGGGATTTGGCATCATCCGAGTGAGAATGGGACTTTGTCCTGCACCGGGGGCCGACAAGTTGTAAGGAAGAGAGCAGCCCTGTTCCATTTGGGGTCAGCAGCATCCGGTTCCTCCCTAGAAGGTCTCTTCTGATGGTGCTTTCTCATGACTTTGTTTTGCATGATCAGCCTGATGTAAGGGGGAGGCTGTTTCCTCCGTTCCCTGGCCCTTTGTTAAACTCTTAAGGTGCTGTTTTAGGGCAACGATGACTCTCCTCTTCCTCAGCCCAGAATTCAAACATGGACTGCAAAAGGGGCTGTAGTAAACCTAGAACCTGGCAGGTCTGCTCTGGGACTCGATCCTTTCCATCCGAGTACTGCAGCTGAGCTGACTTTTGTTTTCACGTGTTTTGGAGACTGGATTTGTAATCAAAACCCCTCAAATCTTTAACCTATCGGTTGCAAACGATGCAGATAAAAGCAGACGCGGCCCTGCAGGTAGCAAGGTGAAGTGCAATGAAGATCCAGCCGGTGTGGGGGAGTCCAGGAGAGTGCTGAGGCCCTTGACAGGACTTCCTGGGGATTCCCAAGGGAATCCTGTCGTGGAATGTGATGGGAGTCAGGCCTGTACATGAGGCCAAGATGGCAGCGCCGTTCCTCTATGACCAGCAGTGTGTATTGAGCAGGGGTCTCGCCAGCACAGAGCCAGGTTCCCTCCTCTGATGCCTGCCACAGAGCTGTGGGCAGAGCAGCACCGCAGTGCCCTGGGGCCATGCCGTATGGGGTGCCAAAGGTCTGACAGCCTGGGGCAGAACAGGAACTGCACCATGCCCAGCTGCTTCTGACCTGCTTCTACGTCCAAACTCTGTTCCACCAAGCTGCACCGACTGCCTCTGGGTTCTGAAACCAGCTCCTGTGAGACCTTATGACCGTGGTGTGGTGTCCTTGAGAAGCTGCACGGAACCACTGAGGAGTTTGCCAAAGACTTGCCCCCGACTGCTCTTTCCAGCCCGCAAAATAACCAAAGTTCTCAAATGCTGCGGTTTCACTCTGCCAACAGAAAGGCTTCGGGCGATGCCGGTCGCGAGCTGCACGAGGGTCAGACCTGCTCTGAAAGTTGCCATCCCTGTGTTTACAGCGTGTCTGCAGCTCAGCCGGACCTCGGCGGAACGGGTTCCTGGAGCTCTGACAGGAGAAGTGGCGAACTGCCCAGAGAACTGGCTCTTTTCCCCTGAGGTTCGATACTAATCAATGTGACTGACTCTTGTTCTGTTACCTTTCCAGATTTATCCCCTTGGATGGTGTCTGACAAGTCCAGCACGTTACAATATCAGCAGAGAGAAACAAACAAGTAACATCTCCATTCTTTTAGTTGATCGCTTTCAGCCATGTATAATTATAGTTTAATTCAGAACTTTATTTTTTCATTAAAACTGTTTTAATGAACCATGTTTTTTTTTTTTCCCCTCTTAACTGTGAAACAAGTGAACAATGATTCTGTTTTATTCCAAACTCAGGACTCTGCTGTTATGATTTACCGGTGCGTGGAGCAGTTGTGCCGGGTGGCTGCAGGACGTGATGCCTCCAGCGCTCCTCCCTGAGCGGTACACAGAGCCAGGTAGGGATGGGAAGTGCTGCAGACACCTCTCATGTACTGATGGGTGTCCCCACCCCTCCTTGCACAGGCTCTGTTACAAGGTAGATTGTGGGAGCGACAGCCCCCGGTCCTGCTGTGGGGTTGGCACTGAGGCCCCCAACCCACCCAAGGGGTACCGGTGCCACCTCAGCTCATGTACATGCTCAGCCAGCCATGCTCAGAGCAGCAGCCTTAGACCATGGCAAGGGTAAAAGATGGCTCGACCCTTTAGACATGGCACTGGATCATAGTAGAAGCCAATCTCTGGTTGGTTATAGCTTCTATTTTCATTCCAGCTGTAATTTTGGGCTAAACAGAGGCCCCAGAGGAGCTGCAGCTGTAAAATGGCAGCTTCTCAGAGAGCAGAAATGGTGGTAGTGAAAGCAGTGGTTGCTGTTCTTAGAGTCGCTTTCAAACTGTGCACTGGTAGGAAATGAGGGGAGGAGGAGGTAGCCGGAGTGTGTTCAGCAGGAGAGACCAACCCCAGACCTGGCACCGAGGAGGAGATGGGCAGGATGGGGCACAGACTCCACGCATTAGCACAGCTCAGCGGCGCTCGACGGCTACAAACACTGTGAGGAGGGCTTGAAGTGCTGCAGAAAACCTGCTGCAGCAGCTTCACGGGTGGGGAACGGCACTCATGGTACCTGAACGGAGGGGAAAAGCAAGAGCTGAATCCTTGGGGGTGATCTGGCAGGACAAAACAAGCTACATCTCATCATGTTCAGCAGGGCACGGGGGAAGGCTCCTGTTGGTATTGTGAGGGATTTTACTTTAACAAGAGCTGTAAATTCAGGTGTTCAAAGTACAAAGTTAAGGTTCATCTGTCACTTGCACAGAGGCTCTGGCTGAAAAGATGAGCATGTGTTCCCTGCCCCTTGTTCAGGTACCTGAAGCAGTTCTGGCTCTGTTACAGACGGATGTGCCACCTCCCTTTCTATGGCATCCTGCAGTTTGTGCTTCTCTATTACAGGACATAATGGCTGGAGCAGGAACAACGTGCTCTGCCCCTCAGAAATGTTAATTTTCAAGTGTAGAAACACCATGGGGCATCTCAAGTACCAAAGCAGCTTTCAGAATCACAATGCTGGCTCTCTACATTTTAATGCAGACTCTGCAAGCAGACACTTGTAACAGCAGAAACTACCTCAGGAAGCTGTCAGAAACAGGGACAATTGTTTTATTGTGCAAACCTTTTTCATGAGAACCCTCCCCACTGTCCTTGCTGTGATAGACACAGGGCCAGGCTGAGATTCCTCTTTGTAATTAGCAGTAAATGTGTTGTTGCTATTTTGCACTTGCTTACACAAAACACAACTCTCAGTCCTCCTCCTGGGAGTACTGTGCCATGTCCTAGTCACTACAGGCTGGCTCTTACTCTTGGCCACAGACTTCATGCAGTGACAGGACATGAAAGAGGAATTTCTCATTCCAGTTCAGCTGTTGCACATGCAAGCCATCAGAGAGGTCCATCAGCAGGACGTGACAAGGGTGCTACAGAACTCACAACCCTCACCTCTCAGGACTTGGTTTTCAAGAGCATCCTCCAGATGCAAAGGGAATGTGGGCTACTTTTCAGCTGAGTATAATTTATTGCACATTTTACATTTGATTTCAGATGAACAGAACACTGGTGGCAAGCAAAATAAAGTCCTGCACCAGGAGCTGGTCACAACTGAAGAGTTTTGTTCTTAATAAAAACACCTGAACACCCCTTTGTTGTATGAACTTGTTCTTAGAGAGGGGAGCATCTCTTTCAGACTGGCTCAAGCCAGATTGCCCAGAGCAAATTCTCCTGTCACACTGAGTTGAACAAAGGGAACCACAGCTGCACCGAAGCAGGGGCCAGGTATGTGTCAGGGAATGATCTCTGGCAGTAACTGTCAGAGCCACGCTGCACTGCCCAGACAGTAGTAGTGTAAACTACATTCCTCTTTTCCCTAGAAATAAATTAGATGGGAAGAGACAGTTGCAGCACCAGAATCAAATTAAATGAATTGCTGTCCTTCTTCCCACTTGCATTCCTCTACTGAAAACCCTGATAGTGCGTGATTCTAGGTGGCAGAAGAATTAATAAGGCTATTCCAGCCTGTGTCCTTGTCTGGAATAGCAGTGTGAAATGAGCAGCTGAAGAGCTCCTCTTTACTACAAAAGGCAAAGAACTTGATTCCAAACATACTTGTTCTTAACAAGAACACCTCAAATGCAGATTTGAGACGGCACATGATCTCTGTCCTCTTCCCAACAAAAGGATTTACACAAAGGAATTCCAGGTGGTGGCCAGAGAACTTAACTCCCCCTCAGGAGCAGAAAAAGGCGTTACCTACCCCAGGAAGTATGTGGAGAACAGGTCGTCTTCCCTGCTCCCTGCAAGGAGATAGGCCGTGGCCAGATGGCAGCAGGAGGGGTGGCTGCAGGACGGGTGGTGCTCGGTGCCCACTCGCGCACCCTCAGCACAAAGCACTGCGCAGTCAGAGCCACGTTGCTTTATTGGTTACTGAGCCACAATTCAGAGCAGTATTGCCGTGGAGCCACCTGGAGAAGCAGGTTCTCAGAACTGGTAGGACACCACCTGCTATATGGGTAGTTAAAAATAAGAATGTCTCTGTTCAAACTTGCGGTGTCCAGGGGGAGGTTGTGGTTTCCATTGACCCAGGTACCGTTATGGACACACGCTGGCACCGGATTAACCATCAGCATCGATTCTGTGAGCTGTTGGGTGAGAACAACACATGGATACACCCCTTCTGGTGGACGGGACACCCCAGCTTGAACCCACCACCAGCCACAGACAGAGTAAAGAGAGGTGTGTGCCCTTTAGCCAGTAACTGAACCCCAGTTCTGTGCGCTTCACCACACAGAGCTGAAGCAATCCTCTACTGATTGCCAAAGGAAGAAGCAGAGCAGTGCTTGCTACTTACATTGCTTTGGTATCCTAAGGGCCTCGCTGTCAGCTGCCATCACTTGGTGCAGAACTCCTCGGAACTGATAAAGCACTTTCAAACTCTTCTCCTCACCCACACAGGGGTCGTAGAAACCTGGCAGCCCAGCCTTGAACCAGAGAAGGACACAGTGAGCATCAGGGAATGGACTTCCACAGCTCTTCAGCTGAACAAAGTCATTTATTAATTCCGGAATGAGGCATCATTAAAAAAGCAGCTTGTTGCCAATGAGGTAAACTAAATGCAGACAGGAGCGAATCAGGGGGGTTGTTACAGCCCAGAGTCTGCAACACACAGTCTCACATTGAAAATAGAGATGCTGTTTCTTTGGCACTGGAAATGCCCAGAGAAACAGAAGCTCCTGGAGGTTCATAACACTTGGTATGTCAATGGCTTCTGTAAGCTGGTCTAGGCTTCAGCACATGGGAGAAATCCCCTAGCAGCACAGCCTTTGGTTCAATGGGAATGCTGAGTCGCACACCCAAGCCCCCGAGCCTGGCCTTTGACAGAACAGCCTTGTACCTTGGATGCCTCTGTGAGGATGAGTTTAGAGTCTTTCACCAAGCACTGCAGGGGCACTGTCACATCTATTACTTTCACCTTCTCATTCTTCCTGCTGTTGTCATTCACAAACTTCCCGTACCAGGCGTTCACCACAATCAAACCTGGAGTCACATGAAATCACAGATGTGGTGAGCGGCTTCCCACTGCCCACGAGGCAGACCCCCCATGAAAAGAACACCCCAGCATTTCCTCTTGCTTTCAATGCTATCTGAATCCTCCTTGCCTGGACCCCTGCTTCTCAAGAGAGAAGAACATTTCTACTTGGGTGTTCGTTAGCAATCAGCACTAGGACAGAATGACACGACTTCAGTGCCACATTGATGTGACAATACAAAGGGATGTCAGTTCACTTTAGAACATCTTCTTGGAAACTGTTAGCAAACTGAACTTCAGATTATCACTCTTGCACATTTATACACACACACTCCTCTTGTGGTGAGGTGAATCCAGACTGTTGTCTTCAGTCTGTTGGATCTACCTCACAGCATGGCCCAAGGTAAGATTCAGTGGATCCCTACTAAACTCAGGCACCATAAGCCGAATCCTAGTGGAACTACATGTGCAACAGCAATTATGCTGTGCTTCATTAGGAGTGGAAATGAAACCTTGCATTTGTCCCTCTCAACCACCCAGCCTTTGCACTGCTCCTTCCTCTCTCCACATTTACGGCACAAGAAAATGGTGGTGTAATCTTTACCCATTCTGGCTTCCTCTGCTTCAATTATCCTCCGGACAGACTCTTGCATTAACCGGACCTGTCCCGAGAGCAAATACAGGCAGTGTCAGACAGTGTCCAAAAGAGAAAAGCCAGGAGAGAAAACAGCTTCCTTGAACCAAGGAGACTTAGTTCTGAGAACCACTTACTGCAGCTTCAGCCTCCTGCTTCTTCTGAAGGATGTCGCTGGCTGTACTCTCCCGTTGCTTCTCCAGCTCCCTGCCGCAAGGAAGTCAACACACATCAGGTCTAGGTAGTGGATGGGATGCAGCCAGAGTGGCAAATTTCTGCTAACCCACCCCAATCACAACTGACCCACAAGCTCAGGTTTAAGGTTCTTCCCCACCATTCAAGGTAATGCTGAAGGCTGCTCTGCTTCCAGAGCTCAGGAGTACCGATGACTCGTAAACCAGTGCCTCAGCTGGATATCCCAACCTTGGCATCCAGAAGCACTCGAATGGGACTTTCCAGCTCTAAATTTAAAACACACACTCACCTCTCCTTCTGTGCCCTGAGGTAGGGTCTGATGACCAGCCTATGCATGGCGAAGTAGACAACTAGAGGTCCCACGGTGGCATAGAAGACAGCGCTGGGAAGCAGCTGATCTGTCAGGTGGACAGGGAAGAAGTAGGTCTGGCTAGCCCTGTTCAATCTGCAACAAAAGGGAACAGTGGCAGGTGAGAGGAAATGCAGTGTTTAATATGCTTGATTAAGTATACTTAGTGCAGTGTACGCTGCTGAACAACTGCTGAACTGAAGGAGTGATGACTGATGAGATCAAAAAGGTGAAAATCTGATAAGCTGAAACAAAGCGATGGTAAGATGGACAGCTGTTCTTACACCACCACTTACACAGAAAACACCGGTTTTCATGGGCTGGACTGAGCCCGTTTCAGAGCAGTTTCAGCATCCTGGCGCGCCCTCTGTGGGCACTAATTAAAAGTGCACCCAGAACAGAAACCCCCCCGAGTTCTGCCCCACTTTCTGAGCTGCATCATGTTAAGAGCATAATCATCTGTGAGTTAACAGTAAGTCACTAATTCAGGTATATACTGTGTACAGTATTATAAAACAGGAATGAAATTAAATCCACTTCTACTAATAACATCTTCCACCCACTTACCATAGCACTCCTTTAAGCTGTACATACTCTAAGCTGTGTTTTCAGAGTATTTTGACGTCCCCACACCCTCCCTGGTCCTGCAAGAGGCAGCTCAAGCTTACAGTAATGCCAGCAAAGGGCACACATTGCTTCTAATGGGCACTACTGTTATTAGAGGGCACCTGCAACCTGTCAGTGATTCATTCTAAGATCGGGACAATCCCACCTGAATGCCAGAAACAGAATAATGCAGGTTATGGTCAGCCTCAGAGCTGTAAACCTGAACTGACTTGATTTTCAAAGACACTCCCTGGGGAACACCAACACTGACGGTGGCTCCTAAAATGCTGTGTCTGGAAATCTTCCTCTCTGCTCCATACTCCACTATGGTCCCGAAGAAACCCGCCCTAGAAGGAGAGAACCAAAGCCATGTAAGACAGGGAAGACTCTTGAATTGCTCTTTGCTGAATCCTGTAATTCCCCAACAAGTAAAACATGGAAATACATCTGTGTGCAGCACATGTTGGCTACTGGAAGATTCAGTGTGTACCTAGCAAGACGAGACCAGTCTTTTTAGCTTGTACAGTAGTACACACAGTACGAGACCTGGGTTTCTTACTGGTGATGATACAGAGATATCATACACATGTTTATCTGAAAAGGCACACAGAGCAAAGCCTTCAAGTCATTCACTTCAGTGTTTACCAGATTTGATTAATGAAAAGCAGATTCCCAAAGACCAAAGAAGCTGGAGGCTCACAACAGCAGGAGAGGACAGATCCTTCAGCCATGAGCAATGTGAATTTCTTCTTCTGCACTTACTTGACAGAACCTTTCACTCGTGTTTGATCCTCATCCTGAAACTTATGCTGATAACTGACCATCACGAAAGAGTGGGGGATTCCCAGCTGAAATACAAGAGGCACAAACGTATGAAAATGTACCCTCATGAATGCTCCCCACGTTTCCTTTCTCACCCTTTCAGTGGCACAGAAACCTAACGAAGTGTTGCCACTTACAGGTCACAGCCTGCAATCTCTGCAGCCTGTGTTGTGTATCCTAGCCCTAACCTGAGTTGATCTGCATTAGATATGACAATGTTGGGTGCAAAGTGTCATGCAGCTGGTTCCCTACCTCACATGTTCATACCAAATGGTACCAACTGCTTGTTTATCCACAGACAGGACAGCAGAGGCACTTCTCTCCCAGGGTGGCATCGCCATCCCTGGTGTACACCAAGAGGCCCACCTGTAATGCCATAGTGAAATGACTGGTTTTTGTGTCCCGCACTACGCTGGTGTTCATGGCTGACTGGATGCCCCATCGCCACTGCAAGTACCCCATCGTGTTCTTGTCGAGGTTGCGGGCCAGGACCGTGGTGAGGCCTGGGCGGATCCCACGGGATGAGAACTGCAGCGCACAGTTTGTAGTGATGAAACTAGGAGACACAAGGAGAGCCTCGTCAGCCATGAAACACAGGGTGGCCTCCAATCCCTTCCTGCCCAGGAGCCTGGCTGAACATGCAGACGCTACCCTGCATAGAGCATGATGCCCGAGGGCTTCAGGAACAACTCAAAACTGACCACAGCACAGCCCAGAGGAGCAGGCTCAGGCCCTGGTTTATTGGTCTGTAAACAGACACCACAGTAGTGGCAAATTTGGCATTATTTCCCTAAAATCTGACATATCACCTCCTCTTTTGCTGTCAGGAACTCCATCCCACACATGGAAGCCCCAGAAGAGCTCCCCGTTTTTTGTTCTGCCCCCAGAGCAAACCTCTGTTGCTCTCACTGTGAGAACATGGCTCATGATCACAGATCATCACAATTTCAAATACAAATCAAAGGATGTGGAACACAGACTTTCCTTAAACTGTAAGTAAGAAAAGGGAGGACACCAACACAAAAAGAACACAAACATTCTGATCATCACTAAAGAGCAACCTGAAATCTAAAGAAGAAATACCTTTTTTGTAGGATAGAAAACAAATCCAGAATTAACATGGTAGGGAATTCAATCCGTTTAGCTCCTTAGTGTGCAATATTAAGCATGAGACCATTTTCCTAATATTTACCATTTTGGTGTAAGATTACGGAATATCTTCAGACCGAAGAGAGGTCCCTGAAGGTCTCCTGCTCCAAACTCCAACTGTTGAAACGCACAAGGCCAAATTGTTAGAAGAAAACATCTTTTACAACAGTGACAAAGTACTTCACAGGCTTCTGAGTAACCAGAGCTAAAGTCCCTTAAAGAAAATCAACACCAATCCAAGTGGCCTGAAATAGATTGGATGTAAATACGTTTAACAAGGGAGTACTCTATGTGGACCAAGGAGTACTCTTACCTCTCCCCATCCTTTGGCAGATGTCACTCGTCTCAGAGCAAGATTAATCGATCCACCTCCATTCCCATTCTGGGTGGAAAGGTTACCAGACAGTATTGCTGTGTCCGTGGCAGTCAGTGGTGCCTGAAAAGATGAATGTGTTGTCACCAATCACTCTGAGCCCGATTCACACACTTACTGCATGTTCTGCAAGGATGTAATCATGACTGCAGAGAGTGCAAGTACAGGGACAGGTAACATTCCAGCTGACTCCTTCTCATTCACTAACCCCAAGTGTTTGAACCAGATGTGGCCACACTTGCTCTGAATTTTGTAGTCAAAGATCAAGCATGGCAAAACCCAAGATAATTCTTACAGTATGAGACATCTTCAATGTACCTCCTTGAAGCCCTGACCCTGAGCTGCAAACTCTCTAATCTCATCAGCTGACTAAACTTCTTCAGCTCTCTGGAACATAGGAAACTCTCCCCCTCTTTTGCTTACCCACACCCTAAGGGCTGGGTGCCATCCAGTCTCATACACTAAATACTCCACATTCAGTGAGAACCAGAGAAGTGTTTTCAGTCCTTACAGAGCCTTGCTGCAGGCAAGACCCTCACAGCCAACACATTCCCTGCTGGAACCTTCCTTTTCCCATCCCTGTTGGGGATCGTGCCCTTCCACACACCAAGATGAGAACCCCCTGTGTCATCCTCTGTGACCTCCTTAGCCTGGCCCTACTCTCCCTGCAGCAGCAGCTCCCCTCACCTCGATGGACTGGGATATGTGCATTTTGTTTATCTCAATCTGGGGAAAGCTGCTCCCAGGCACATCCTCGTATTCTTCCTCGTAGCGGTCAAAGAGGTCGGTGGCATCTATTCCAACACTAATTGTTCCCTAAGGAATGACGAGAGAAACAAGTACTTGGCATTAACAAACACCCAACACAGGCCAAACCAGCCTTGGTTATGAGTAAATTTTTTGTTGTTTTTTCTTGTTCTGCACTTTTTCCACTCTAAAATGCATTTCTGCCATAAACAGGACAAACAAAATGAACAATTACAATACCCTAAACCAGCAACATAAATCACGAAATAAACTGGATAGAAGACAGTTTTCCAGCAGGAATGCAGCTCATAACACTAGCAGGTAACTCTTCCACTGTGACACATGCCAGAAGTAGGTGGAACACTTACACAGCAGGTTTCTTCTTCCCCCATGACTGACTCTGCTCTGTCAGTATTTTAAAGTTGAAACAATATATTTTAGACATTAATTTTCTTCACTGGAATTTGGCCAGAAACCCTTTCAATTCCTTCTTCTTAGGAGTTACCTGACACAACTTCGTTATGAGCTGCATCATTCACTCGCAATTGTCCTTGCTAGCCAAAAATTTTCTTTTTCCTAGTTTATATCTTGCAATCAGAAGAAATGCTTCACAAAGAGAGACTTTTAGCAAGGGGTAAATATTTCCTTTCTCAGCTTATTCCTACGTAAAACTAGGCCACAGCTAAACAGTCTGGCTACCTGCTGCTGTGCTCGCTCAGACGAACTGCAAGAGCAGGTTTCTTTGAGAAGGGCACGATTAGATCCTTGTCTGGGTCATATAACTTCAAGAAGCTCTGGAAACCTTCCCTGTAGACCTATTAAACAGCATCCCAGCTCATAGAAAATGTACCAATTGCAATAAAGAAACCCCTCTGTGCACAAGCACAGAATAAACTCTGAGCGATTTGTATAAAGAAACCCAAGAGCTGTTTTACAACCCCCCCTTGCACAGAGTGCAAGCATGGATGGAATAAATTCTTACTTCAATCCCTTGCTCCCCCCACTGTAATCAAATGCTGAACCATAAATATAGGAATGAATTGCTGAGTTTGACAGGGCTCAAAACTTCCCTCTGCTTTGACTCCCAACTACTTATTTCCTGCGGAGATTCCCAACCTCTTTTCCATGTTTATTTTCTGATTTCTTGGGCAGCAAAAACTGGGTAAATGTTTTAACAAGGGGAGGTGCAATCACTTCCCAGAGGATTCTGAACAGCAGGGAGCTCCTGCCCTTTCTGCAGAAGGCCACTCTCCAGGAACCCTCTGCAAAGTCACCTTCAAGGGATCTGCTTCCCAGACGCTGCAGCTTCTTCAGTTTCAGCCCTCTCCTACGCTCTGCTGTTCCTTGAATCAAGGCCAAAACAAGAGGGAAGCAAAGGCAAAATATCAACTGTGAAGGAAGTAGCGAGTGTAGCCCTGCGCTGCAATCCAGCCCTCTGGAAAGGCATGGAGTAAAACAGCCAAAGAGAAACAAAGGTTCCAGCAGCGCTCAATGAGATTCCAGCAAATGTGCTCTAGATTGGTGGATCAAAAGCATCTAGAAACAAGTGAGCATTTATTTTAACAAAAGAGAGACTATTTCCATTTTTCCTGGATGCTTCCCAATTCAAGGAAGTGTAAAATTCAAGATCTTTGTAACAGAGGCAGAGCAGAAAGAGTTTTCCATGTGGAACACCACATTCAGAGCCTTTGTCAGTCCACAACTTTGAATACCAAGTTAAACATGTTTAAAGAAGGGATATTAAGCTGTGTAGTAAGCATGAGGAATTTGAATGGCAAAGGCAGAAAACTTGGTATTTTCAACTCAGAACAGGATACAAACAGCAGTAAAGCTTTCTCAAGAATTTTCACTAAAAGCCCCACCGAAACCATCTTACTGTGCTGTGTTTATTGGTACCACAATGCCCTTTGTAAAGATGCACCAAGGGCCACTGACATCCCCAAAATTCACTGCACCTCCTTTCTTTCAATCATATTCAAAGCTTACAGTTTCCTTTTTCACACCTACAAACATCCCTCCCAATGGAAAAAGAACACCTGAACCTATCCATGAAAGACCCACTCAGAGGAAAGGAGCATCTCCGGTCCCTCTCTGCTCCTTAGCGGGTCCTGTGTTGAGCCACCTTTGGCCGAGGGGAACGGTGGGCTCCATGCAGGCATCTCCCCTCCTGCCTGGCAGGTGAAGTCACCCTCAGAGGTCTATAGATCCCCGCAAAGGAACTGGCTCGGGCACAAGCACAGGAAAAGCAGCAGATGGTAAAGTTAAAAATATTCCCGGAGAACCAGAGCACCCCCCTATGCCACCGGATGATAGCGGGGGACCGCTGCTGCTCGCAGCCCCCCATCAGCCACCTGCTCAGCCCCTTGGGAATGAAGAAACCCTCCCCAAGGAAAGAGCAGCAGGGAAAAAGCTGTAAAGCTCTGCCTGGAAGTCAGCAGCACACAGAGAACATGCTGTGAACCAGCTCAGCAGGGCAGGAGGCTGGGGAACAGGGCTATAGAACCATCAGACTTATCTGGCATTGCCTTTTACATGCATTTGCTGTCCTGTGAACATGAAAACAGACTTTGCTGATGGGATTAAGGGGTGTGGCAGAGAAGAACAGACCCCTCCTTGCCTTTTTTCTTAGGGGGTTACCTTCGAGAAGGTGACTTAGAGAAGCTGTGCCAGACTAAGCCCTGAGGGACCTGCACTGACATTCTGCAGCAGGGAAATAACAGGGTTTAATTTCTCCTCACAGAATGCAGTTCTTCTCAAATCAAATAATGAACTTTTCAACCCTTCTGCATGTCTTTGAAAGCAAAAACAAAGCTCTAAAAGCAAACAGAAGACTCGATTCGAACCCTGCCAAATTGCCTACATCTGGTTATTGCTCAACATTCCTGGTTAAAATGCTTTATTTTGCTGGAGCTGTTTTATAGACCTGACAAAATGTTGGAAATTTAAACTAACTTGCGCTCGTGTATGAAACGATCCCAGCTGCACTACCCCATTCCACAGGAACACTGCCTGGAGAGACGTTTCCATAGGCTGCCAGTCAGCAGTTGCTGTTATCACCCAGATGGCTGGTTTTATCCCAGGACTCAGAGGCTGAGGCTTACAATGCAGCTCCATTTTTTAGTGCCACGGCAAGGCATCCGGATAAAACGTCAAACTCCTCAAGTCACAGCAAAGCACGAGGTGGAGATAATCCTGTCCCTCTCCAAGAACACCCTGTGCCCTGATCACCCTCATCTCCAGCAGGGACATTCAACCTGGAATGGAATACTCCATGAGCCTCAACATGAGCAAGCTATGCTCCAACAGGCTCTAGCTGTGGCACTGGCAAGCCCCCAGCCCTACTCAGGTTGGCTTTGCTCATGGTGCTGCAGCAGAAGGGTTCTGCTCCACAGCTGCTTTGGTACCTGCCTTGCATTTTTCATTCGTTTCTAAGCTGTGTTTGAATATCAGCCTGTGCTGCTGTGACACTCCAGCATGTCCAAGGGAAAACCTGTCAGGAACTGCAGGGAGTTTCATTTTGTCTGGAATACTTGGAAAGAAATCACAAACGTTGCAGTGTTAAGTCTGTTTTCTTGAAACTGCTGAAAGAGATATTTTGCTCACACGTCTCAACAGAAAAAAGAGCTTTCAGTAGAGGACTGCTGTTCAGAGAATCAGCTGTTTTCCCTACATTGTCCAAAGAAACTCATGTTCAAAAAAGGAAGAGTAACTCGCTAAGTGTAGCTACTTACTACAGCCCCTCACCTAGGCTCATCACACCCTGCATATCCGTAATGATTTACAGATTCACTCCTCAGACAAGGATGAAGTCTTTCCTTACCTTTGGATTAGTTCGCTGCTGCAGTCTTCTCTCTTCCCTCTCTCTCTGCAAACGCTCAAATTCTTCCCTGATTTCAGCTGGAGTTCTCTTCCTTTCCACAACCTGCTCAGAAAGAAATGAAACCCCAGAGATTACCAGAGATAGGATGTTCAGGGCATCGCCCTTCTAATGGGATGAGCCCCACTGACCTGCTGTGCTCTAACGTGTTGCCCTGCTTCTACTGTAAGCCACTCTGCAAGGACCCCAATGCTCAGAGTTTGGAAGCAAAAACTTGGGCCATATCAAATGGCAGGCACGAGAGAAACCCCCATGCTTTGAGAGAAGGGAAAGTGATCTTGTTATTTCTATTCCCTTGACAAAACAAGCCAAAAAGCTTTCAAACCACAAGTACAAGATACTGCAGCACAGCCACTGCCAACAGCTCTGTTAACTTCTCTGCTAGGTGTAGACACAAAAATGAGAATGACTGAAAGTTTCTGCCCTAAGGTAACTGATTGAGAGATTTGGGATTTTAGGCTACACTGTTTACCTTACATGGCTCAGGGAAACAAGGGATTTAAAACAGGTAAGGCTCTAGGTATGGATAGAAAGAGTATTGGATTTGCCTTTTCAGAACATGATCGAGTCTGTCACAAGCAGCTCAAAACTGTTACATTTCTTACTACTAACTGCTTACTGCTCCACATTTCTTGCTACTAACTCTGAACTTGACCTTGGTACTGACCTGACCCAGTACAACATGATTCTGCAGCCAGCAGCTTTGTGCAATCAACTACGACTGGCAGAGGGTAACAAGAGGACTTAACAGGAAAGGCACAAGTGGACAAGCTCTCTTTCAAAGCCCATAAAACCCAAATAATAATAACAAAAAATCCAACCCCAAAAAGCCCAGAAAGAAAAAGTAATTTCAAACTCAGAGGCAGCTAAGGCTGGAAAAAAAGGATTTCAGAGAAAAAAGATGAGACTCAATGGACAACAACAACACATCTATCTCAGACAAAGATGTTGCCTGTCACGGTAATATCCTATTAGGGAACTCTGAATGTCAGGCTTATTGTTCTCTTGTCAAGTGAAACCCTGAAGTATTCTTTGAAAATCCATCACGGTGTTGCAGCAGAGACAGAAATAACTGAACAAGGATGCCTGCAAACAAACAGGCATTTGTTACCATCGAGGTGTCAGTGCAGCTCGATAGAACAGAATATCAGATAAAGGTGAGTTTAGTCGATTCCACTGCCCATAAGGTGCTACATTTCTCTCACCTCCCATCCTTCCATTTCCAGTCCTCTCCTCCCATATATGTCATAGATGGCTCTGGTCTGTGGATCACTAAGCACTGCAAGTTAAAATCAGAAGAGAGGAGAGAACTCAGTGTTTGGTCTTCTCAGACCAACACTCTAGTGTTATTTGCAGTTCAAGCACAGATCCTGGAAACATGTTGCTCATCCAATTTTTACATTAAGTTCCACGTGTATTAACAGGACACACTGACTTTTACCCCAGCAAATTACTGGTTTGGGGGTTTCTTTCTTACTTCTAAAATCAGAAAGTGAAGAAAACATGGGAGACATGCAGACTGACTGAATATGCAGAGGGGGTTTTAAGGTTGTTTCCTCTGACGGAAGGGTGACGCAAGCCCTCTAAAATCAATAGCACTATTAGCAATTCCATGATAGCAGTCTCTGCAAACCCTGTGGAGGATTGACACCCACCTCTGCCTAGTCTCTGGTCTGTGATCTCCATCGTCATCCCTGTCCACTGACCCTTTCCCACCCAGTCCAAACAGGTGGGACATGCCAAACACTAACGAAGGCACTTCCATAAGCAGGTCATGCCTTGCCCAACATCAGCTACAGGGGAAGTGCACAAATGCATGTGGAGTTTGAATCTCTCAGAAAGCCATTGCTTTTGTCATGCATTGTTCCTCTGATTTCCTCTGAGAGGAAACAAAGCATCGCTAAGTGTCAGCAAATTTAATTATGACTTTGGAATATTACAGATCTTCCTCAAGAAGCATGGAGACACAGCCCTCCTGCTAAAAACCCCTGAACACAGTTTCTGCCAGCTCCAGACTTCCACTGACCTTCGTAGGCCTGGTGCACGAGGTTGAAGAGCCGCTCTGCCTGCGTCTTGAGCTCCGGGTCCCTGTGCTTGTCAGGGTGGTAGAGCATGCATAGCCGGCGGTAGGCGGCCTTCAGCTCCTCCTGGGAGGCCTGAGGAGAGCAGTGAAACTCAATTAAAGCACAACCAAAGGTACCTGAAAAAGACCATGCTCAAGATCAGCCCTAAAAGGGAAGCCCAGCAGCCCATTACACTGCTTCTACTGATGCAAAATGAGGAGTGGAATTTTGTGTCATTACATGAGGCAGTAAAACGTTCACTTATGTTCACCAGTACTGTCCACACTACTTACAGGGCAACAAATGACAGCAATAGCTCAGCAGCGCTTACCTAGGTATGAAAAGTTAAGTATAAAACCCCAAGAAACATACCTCATTTTCATTAGGCAACTACTGTCTCCTCAGTTCAATGCAGAACAAGATAAAATAAAATCATCCAGCCTCCTTCCAAAGACATGTGATGGAAATGTATTTGTGATGGCTCTTTCAGAATCAATGCAATAACCTTCCCTGGGCGCGGGGAACAAGAAACTACTTTGCTGTGCCAGGAGGCACGCACAGAGCACCGTAACTGAAACACAACAGGGACCTGCTGGCCTCCCGAAAGGAAACACCACCCCTCTGCTACAGCAGGGCGTAGAGGGACAGGAATACACCAGCGAGGAGGGGGCACCCAGAAAACACTTTTGAGAGCAGACTTTAAAGACACATATTCCATTTACTCTTAATGCTCTTCAGCAATTGAGGCTTTTACAGCTTCCACACTTTCACTGTGCAAATAAAAGGCCCCAAAGCTCCTTTCTTAAAGTAAGACCTTTTTCCCCAATCCATGGTAAGCAGAACATGGGTTTCATCATAGAAATTTGTGCACCAAAGATAGAAATCCATTTGATTTTGAGGACAGCTTAGAATAAATGTTTTCTCTGCACATTTGTGCTATTTCAAGTTAATGTTTCTAAATGATACAGCAAAATACCTGCCAAATTTGCTGGCCTCAAGACAGCAAGGATAGCTACAGATTGGCGTTTTTCTTCTTATTACCTTGTGCTTTCTCAGACATAGAATTTAAACTCGGCTGGGAAAGCAGGGGGCTGTATGGGCCTAAGACAGCCTTCTTTAATCAAATTAATGATAAATGGTTTAATGTGCTATTGATTATCTAATAGAAATGAGCAGTTTCATTTTTCATAGATGTCACGTTCAATAAAACATTAGCTTGGGCATTTCATCATCATTGAATAGCTCGGGTCACTGGTTCAATATTTCATGAGCAATAGCCTCTTAGGAACCGCTGAAGGAATCCTGACATCCTCTCAAGCTGCAGTGAAATGTGTGAGTCAGGAATAATCACGTATAAGTTACATTTTCATTACCAAAATCCACAGGCACAATTCAAAGGTGTCCCATCTGCCTACTCGGGGCCCAAATGGCTTCATTTAACACCTCAAACACGTCAGCATGGCTTTAGTGCATTGGAATCTATGGAAGATGAACCATGCCATGCACACAGAGCAGTGGCACAGCAAGGCTCAGGGTTCACTGGTATTTTAAGCTGCTGCATCACACCAGGCTGGCTCAGCACATGGAAATGTGAGCGTGCTGCATTCCACTGCTGCACGGAGTAGTACTACTGAATTTAATTAGCAAGGGGTAATTAACACAGCAGCTACTACTACTCTCAGTTGGAATCGCTCCCTTGAAGACCATTTTAGCTCGGTTTCCAGGTCCCTGCTGACCAAACCTGCCTTTTCTGGTTTGCCAAAGAACTGTCTACTTTGGTAAGTTAACTATTCAGCCTTTGCTGTTAACCTCCCAGGTAGTTGCAATCCTCGCGTGGTTCCTGCCTCTCTTTCAACCTCCATGGCTGCACACTGCAGGAGGGTGAGATACAGATGCTGCCAACCGGCTGCTGGATTTCAGTGAGTGAAACACAGAGTTTTCTAAAGACAGCTCAGTGCTCTGCATGGCATCAGGGAGTTCTGCAAACGGAGCCACTGTCGGACACTTTCCCCTTGGAAATGGGGATTTCCACAACTCCGATTACACACAGTAACAGCACTTCAGTAAAACCCTTCTGCAGCTCAAACTGATAGAACCACAGACTGGTTTGGGTTGAAGGGACCTTAAAGCTCATCCAGCTCCAACCCCTGCCACGGGCAGGGACCCCTTCCACTAGAGCAGCTTGCCCAAGCCCCTGTGTCCAACCTGGCCTTGAGCACTCCCAGGGATGGGGCAGCCACAGCTTCTCTGGGCACCCTGTGCCAGCGCCTCAGCACCCTCACAGGGAAGAGCTTCTGCCTAAGAGCTCATCTCAGTCTCTCCTCTGGCAGGTTAAAGCCATTCCCCTTGCTAACACCTAGTCTGACATGCTGGAAAAGTGAAGTCTGTTTATACACACATGCACACAGTACATATATATATATATATATATACACGTATATAGAACGCTCTTGCATTCAGTAGAATGAACTATTGATACATTGATACATATCGATACATTAATACACATACAGTACACATTTTATACATCTGGCTGACGTTTTTAGTACTGCTATTAAAACAGTAATTACCCCTAACAGCCAAACACCTCCACTACAACGCAGCTGCACGAGTTCACACCTCATTTAATCTCAGGCACACCGAGGACCCCGCATCCTCCCGCTGCTCTGCAGCTGTTTCCACTACGGGGCATTGGGAAGGCGCACACGGCACCGAGCAAACCGCAAAGACCCAGAGACAACAGCGTCCTGCACGGACCAGGCTCCCTCCGAGCCACCGGGAGCGCGGCGAGCACCAAACCGGGGCCGCCTCACGCCCGCTGCCGCCCGCCACAGGGACGCTCTGAGGACGCGGCCCGGCCTGCCCCGCGGGCACGGGGGTCACGGCCCGCGCTGCCCCGGCCCGGCCCGGCCCGGCCCGGCTCGCGGCGGTTCCCCCCCGGCAGCCCCCGCCGCACCTCCCGCCGCACGTTGAGCAGCGCGTAGTAGTCCTCGTTGTCCGGCACCTCCTCCGCCAAGGCCGCCGCCATCTTCCCGACCTCTCACCTCACGCCGCTAGCGCGGCTGGGCGTGCTCAGAGGCGGGAAAGGAGCGCTGCCGCGCCCCCCAGTGGCGCGGAGGATTGACAGAGCCCGCGCATGCGCTCGGATGCGCTGTGATATTTGCGCATGCGCGGGCTGGTCCCGCCCAGAGCGCCGTGAGGCGAGGCAGCGGCGGGCGCGGGACGCGCGGTGAGTGCTCGGTGTGGTCCGGCTCGGCTCGGCTCGGCCCGGCCCGGCCCGGCCCGGCCCGGTTGGGCCGGGATCCTCTCCGGCCGCCGGGGCTGCGGGAGCCGCGCGGGACCGGTGGGTCCGGGCCCCCGTCGGGAGCGGGGCTGTGTGCTGCGCACTGGGGTGTTTCTCGCTCCCCTCAGCGCCTCTGTCCCGGGTTGGGGGGGGTGTCTGGTGGCCTGCCTGTGTGAGCGGCCCTTTCCCGCGTTGCTGAGGTGCTGCAGGCGCTGCCCGGCACAACCCGCGTGATTCCTGAGCCTTGCTGTGTCTCGGTCCCCTGAGCAGCTCCCGGCTCTCACAGGGTGTCCCATGCAGCCTTGTCCGGTCAGATCGGGGTTGCACGAGCTACCTCAGCCCTGTGGAGCCCGCTGGCGGGGAGCAGGGCCCCCGCCTCAGGGTCAGGGCTCGTTTGGCACCCGGAGAAATGGAGCTGCTTTGGCTTTTCACCACAGAGAACGTGGCCGCAGGGTTTGTGCTCCAAGAGGACGGTCTTGGCGTTGGGCTCGCCACGAGAGGGCACTCGGCGAGTCGTGCCCGGTAGAGAAATAGAGGGAAATGCCCCGAAGTGTGGCGAGCAGACAGTTGCTCGTAGAAGGGGTTCCCGGTCTGTGCTCCAGCCCGTGCCGCCTTACAGAGCACGCTGACCGGTCTCAGTGTTAACTGGCTTTATTGCTGCCATAAGGAGTTAAAACCTTTCCTGGCTTTAAAATAAAGCTGGGGGGAGGATGTTCCCCGGTGTCTAGATGTGATGTTTGCGTAGGGGATGCTAGTGATGTTGGAGTACTGCTGTCCTAAAGGAGCAGCGGTTGAGGACCTCTCACTAGCACCAGTACACTCTGTAGAATGAAGCTGAAGCGGTATTTTCCCATCCCAACACTCAACTGATCTTTTTTGGATTTGATCTTCATGTAACTTTTGTTTGAAAACAGGAGTGGTTTAATATTTAATAAGTTGTTTTCCAATCCAAGAGTAGTTAATATGGAAGTATTGGTCATGTTACAGAAGTTCCTCTCTGCTCACAGTGAGGTGGAGGGCTGAGAACACAGAAACTGGGAAACCACCTAGAAATGGGTCTGTCTGATGGGATCCTGGTAGGATTCAGGAGCTGTGTGGCCCTCGGAGCTGTGTTATCGGATCCCTCCCCGGCTGCAGCACGCATTGCCAGCTCTGGCCACTGTTCCATGTGTGCCCCCAGGGATCCAGGGAAAACTTTTGGGAACAGTCCACAGATCTTGGCAGGGAGCTACAGGAGGGAAATACGACTTTGGGGAGCTAAATATGAGCTGTGCTTTCTAAGCATGTAGAAAGAGCTTTACATTTACCAGTGGAAATGTAATATCCATGGCAAAGAGCAATGTGGGGGGAAGAAAAAAGAAAGGAAAAAAGAAAAGTACTTGTTTGTGCTTTACTGATTTGCCAGGTTTGCTTCAGGGTGCGCATTCCTTTTGCCCGCATTGCTACACGCAGGTTCTACACGTGGCACAATAAAGTGCTGTGGTGCTGTGCTGTGATCCTTGTGATGAGGGAAGCAGACTCTGCGTTCATTGGAAAGCATCTGGATGCTTTGGAAGAGGGTGCATGTGGAATTCCAGTGTTTCTGAGCTTAGGGAAGTGAGCAGCGCTATGGGGTGAGAAAGGGGCAGGAGCTGTCACTGTTCCTGTCTGGAAAACCAGGTTGGGAGCTAAAAGTTTTTTAAAGCTGCAGAAAACATCAGTGTTGTGTTTCTCCAGGGTACTGGCAAGGGGCAGAGGTGTGCCAGGGTCAGCTTTGCTGCTTCAGAGCCAGAAGTACCAGTGAGCCCTTCCATCTCCTGAAGCTTTTCTCTGAGCAGGATGGCGAATGGTTTTCCCTTGTGTGGTGTGAGTGGCCTCATTCAGCAGATTTCCTTAGGAGCTGGAATCGTGTAGTCATGGCTGGAATATTGCCCCCACACAAAGTGTTTTCTTGCTTATATTAACTTTAGTTCTGTCTCAGCTCAATGGAGGGGAAAACTGGAGAGTGCCATAAATTGAGCCGAGCTTGTCCAAACTGTCACATTAGCACCTGAGGGAGCTCCTGCCTCCTAATGACCAGAGGAGAGTATGCTGGGGGGGTCAGTGTCATCTGGGCACCCTTTGGTTACATTCACTGCCCCTCTTCATAGCCAGATTGATGCCGACTGCTGAATTTTAGCAGAGGTCGTCTTGGTCCCATTTGTTAGTGCTAGGAGTCCATAGAGATAATGTCTTTTCACGTATAAAAGATGCTATTGATTTTCTGTTACTGTTGTCCTGAAATGTGCACAGTGTGTCTATGGAGCAGTGACAATCCTCCATCAGTAGCTTTATGGGAGAAGAATGGTTATTGAATCTCTTCCCATAAAATATAATCTCTTTCTCTCTTCCAGAATTTGCCAGCTCCTGTGGGAGTCCCTCATGTTATCTCTGAGAAAATTGTTTTTCTTTTTTTTTTGTCTCTGCTTTGTACACTTGTATTTAGTTTTATTTTTAATTTGGTTTGTGTGATATATGGAATGAAGGATTCCCTAACATCAGGCATGCTCTCTGTGTTGTATTCCTTCTTTCCCATATGGATTGACACTTCCTGAATGTTTTAAAATCAAATAAAGATGTTGGCTTGGCACAAGCGTCTCTTGTTGTTGCTGGGAATGTTTTCACTCTGGGGGAGTCACTGCCCTGCTTTTTCTCTCCAGGCAGGTCTGGGCTTTTCAGCTGCTTACAGGTAAATTTGGGGTAAGTTTCTGGAGTCAACACAGGCTGATTGGTTTCTGATGAATGACACTGTAGCAGAGCACGCAACTCGCAGTGCTGCTCAAGGAGCAATGATCTTTGAACTTGAACAGTGGCAGAAATACTCTGTCAAATTTGTCCTTTCCTCAGTGCAGCAAATGACTGACTGTGGGACTTTTTCCTTTCAGGGAGGAAACGGCAACATGAATTCATAGATGATGAGTAGGATGCCAAAGCCAGAGATGACAGTGCTCTTGAAGAAATGCTGGGTAGAGCAAAAAGGTAAAAGGAACAGCTAATTGAGTGCATTTTGGAGCCTTCCTGTGGGACTTCATGGGGTGCCTCCCCTTGGGAGGCAAAGGCCACCCCCTCAGATCTGAACTGAATTCCCTGAACTTCCCTCTCCAATTTGCATGAAGTCCCAGTGGTGCCCCTCACTCCTGACCCACGCGCTCTGTGCCTGGGTTTGTACCCAGAACCCCTGTGGGACTCGTATGTTCCAGTGTGTCCCTGCATGCACCCACCTGGCCTGGCACTTGTACCAGGCTCTGCTCCTGTGTGTGGTGATGAGAAAGAGAAGGAAGAGATGCACTCATCCTGCTCAGGTGCAGCCAAGGCCATTGTCCTGAGGTGATGGTTGAGGGCCACATTTGCTTGTGTACCATGTTGTGCCTGAAGCCCGTGTGGCGGCAGGATTTGGAGTGCACAGTGATCAGGTTGCCTCCACGAGGGCTGAATTGCTTTCTGCTACTCTGATGCCTTTTACTGCATTTTGTGTTAATGCTGTTGAGATGCCCAGAGGAATCAGTGCTTATTGGCTCTTTCATTCTGAGAAATTATCTCTGTAACTGAGGCATGATCGTCCACTTGGGGACTTGGGGAAGTAAGAGGCAGATTTAATCACACCTGCAGAGAGCCGTGCGGTAGAAAGGCCTTTGCTACTCACTCACTTTACTACTCATCCAGTGGCAGCAGAATTGGCTGAAGCCACTGACAAGCAGCAAGAAAATCCTCATTAGTAGCATAGCTCTCCTTGGGATATCTTCATGCTGGTTTGTGGAAGACTGACTTTAATCCCCCGAAAGTCAAAAGCAAACTGCCCTTGAAAGTGTTCCTGGTTGCAGTCTGTGGGTTGCCCCCTGCCCCTTGGCTCTTCCTGGCAGCAGCTATAGGGGAGAGGGCATTTCTGTGGCAAGGGGAAGATCCTTAGTAGTAGGAGCAGGAAGAGGTGTGAAGGGTGGGTAAGGTGTGATGGGTTGGCAGACATAAATATCAGTTCTTTTCTGCTAGATGTGAAATACTTTCCTGTTGTTGCCATAAGGAGCTGCTCTGTGTGCTACAGGATGCCCTCAAATCCTTGTTAAGTTTAGGCCACATGTCACAGGAGAGGAACAACACCAGGTTCACTCTCTTGGTGAAAGAGTTATGATTTCTCCTTTGTCCTTTGGGAAATGTGCCCATGTTTGATTTATTGTATAAATAACATGAAATAGTGATTGTTTTTTGAGGTGGTCGTAACTGGTGTAAGCTCTCATACAGATACAACACAATGAATTGACACCATTTTTAGTTTAATAACACCAGAACTGAGGATCCAAGCATATTTAAAATAGTACTTAGTAAATTTCTGCTGGTGTCAATCCATATTTTGGGGATCTGATAGTTTTGTTCCTTATTTTTCTGCATGTGTGTTATTGAGCTATTTCTGTAAACTCAGATGTAAATCTGTTATGCTCTTTGAGTTTTGAAATCCTTCCCCATCAATCTGGAAAGCTGTAAGGTTGCTAAAACTGGAGTACAGTCAGTGTTGGCAGGGAGCTGTGTGTCCTCATGGTCATGCTGGTTTCCCAGAGCTTGCAGCATTCCCAGTTCCTCCTGCTCACTGGTGGCAATGGCAGCAGGGAGCTGTGTGTTAGAGCTCTGTGTCCATGTTGGTTTATGTTGGTGCCACTGAAGGTTAGAGCAGGGATTGTGGTGTGGTGCTGTTGCTTTAAGGTGGCTGGTGGCCATGAGCTGTGCTGAGCGTCACCGTTGCCAACGCCGGCACCAGCACCGCAGCACGTGCTGCCTGCTCAGCAGTGCCTGGAACATGCAGATAGGACCAGATTTGGCATC